CAGTTCCCTTCCCAATGCATTCTGATCCCTTCCCTCTGTTTCTTGCAGTGCTGGAGGCTACATGAGTGCAGAGAGAGAAAGAGAGAGAGGGAGAGAGAGAGAGAGAGAATGCGGGGGAGCACTGGGTGCTTCCTGCAGGGTTGCCGTGTTGAACGCGATCTGAATGACAATGGTGCACATCAGGGCCTCAGCACGACTCAGCCAGAAACACTGGAGCACATAGCATTTATTCACACACACACAGGGGAGGCCAATGATTACTCCTCGATTGATTAGTTGTCAATAATCCTTTTAATCAACACACCTGATTGATGGTCGATTAGGCATGGATGTCATTAATGTGTGGAGTTTGAGGTACATGCAGCATACAAGCAAAACTTGCACAGCAGATGCAAGGGGAAAATGAAACGAGTATGAGTGATTTTATTAAAAGCTCTCCAGTACAAAGCACCATGTCTAAAGTAAAAAAAAATGTTAGAATGTTTATTTTATGAAATGAATTAGCTTATCATCAGCTGACTCAATTATACTGCATTTAACTCATGAACATTTAATGTAAAAATATACCATTTTTACCTTTAGGAGGTACACAAAATACCTCAAATTTTGTATGTAGATTTTCATGTAGACAAATTATCGGTATGAAAGCATCACATTTATTCAAGTAAAGTCTACTTTTACAGCGCACACATCTGGGAAGAAAACTATTTTATAGAAGTAAAATAATAATAAATGTTTCTGAAACAAAAACTGAAAAAATAATGTATTGAATTAGCAGGCTTTTGCATTTTAATGCCTTGTATTTAACAGGCTTGCATTTTAGGTCTTTAAATTTAACATAGCTGTTTATTTAAGCTGTGAATATGTCAAGTCAAAACCTTTCACACACATTTTCATACTTTAAAAATATTGAATACTTTATGTTGATCATCCAGAGTTCCTCTCAGAAATGTGCAGTCTCTATATATAAATCTAATATTCAATCCATGTATAATACTCCAAAGGCTATTTTTCCATTCGTTTTATTTCACTTCACAAGTGAACATTCAACAATACAACCGGACGCTGCTGAAAAAGCAATACAATACAAGTCTTGTTGTTGATCCCAGTTGAAAGTGCAACAAATATTAATTTGACTTCTAGTTAATTATTCGAAAAAGTGGCAGAAAGTAGATTTTTCAGATGAATCATCTGTTGAACTGCATCCCGATCATCAGAAAAAACTGCAGAAGACCTATTGGAAACCGCATGGTCCCAAGATTCTCATAGAAATCAGTCATGTTTGGTGAAGGAAAATTCATGGTTTGGGGTTGCATTCAGTATAGGGGGTTGTGTGAGAGATCTGCAGAGTGGATGGGCGACATCAACAGCCTGAAGTATCAACACTTTTATGCTGCCCATTACATTACAAACCACAGGAGAGGGCGAATTCTTCCAGGTGTCAAGGTGGTTAAGGATTGGCCAGCCCAGTCACCAGGCATAAACATTATTGAGCATGTCTTAGGTAAGATGGAAGGGCATTAAAGATAAATCTAAAAAATCTTGATGAACTCTATAAGTCTTGCAAGAACGCTTTCTTTGCCATTTCAGATGACTTTAATAATAAGTCGTTTGTGTCATTGCAGAGATGTATGGATATTCCATACTGTACATTATTTCTGTTAAGTGACAAGACTTTTGTCTAAGCAAAGTCAGACCTCACTGTCCTTATTAAATAATTAAAAATCTGTGCATGATCATATTTTATTTAGGCACAACAAGTGTAATCTAGAGGCTTTTGCCTTTCATATATGCCACTTCTGATACCAAATGATCCACTAGAAGTTATTAATTGTTGCTCCTATAACTTAATCTTTTGTCAGGTGTTGTAGAGTGTCGAATTAGTTCACGTACATGTAGATGCTCACATGCAGCAGTTGCCAGTGTGAAGATCTGAGATGCTGCTATTGACACGATGCATTTTACGTTTTTTTTATTAAGTTGTTCTATCAAAATTGATCCTTTTTCACAATCATTCTAGCTGTTTTTTTTTGCAATAAAACATTTGAGTGAAGATGCTTGGATGATTTGCACCATGATAACATGCCACTGAAGTAGACACATGCATTAATAAGCTTATCGATTACTTAAATAATGGATCGTTAATTCAACCGATGATTAATCAGTCATTGGAATTTGTGTAAACCGAGATTCTTAATATACATGCTTGCTGCACTGAATGCATGCATGCACGATGTATAAACACCATTAGCCTTATTTATTGCATCTGAACCACTAATGATGCAAATGTCGAAAACACGGACTGCACAATAACAGGAATTAATTTAAAAATGTTTTCACTGAAGGCTAGAAATGAATAGTCACCTATGTGGATTGCGTGCTGCAATGGTGATGTCTCTCTCTCTCTCCCTCTCTCTCTCTCTCTCTCTCTCTCTCTCTCTCTGTCTTTCTTCTCTGTGCTGCGTGTTACAAAACCTTTTGTCAAATTGTCTCCCCAAGCGAATGCATTAGGCCTTAATTAAGCATGTCTCTCAACGCGGAGGCTCATCATCTTTGTTGCATTACACCAGGCGCTCTGGCAGATCTGCTAGAGACTGCGCATCCACGCCCCTTACCGACACTCACGCTCGCCCACTACCAGGACAACCACTCCACCTCCTCAGTGGGAATCCTCCCCTTTTATTGCATTATTATGGGCAGCTTGACATGAAAGCTCCCGTAACAAGTGCACTGACTAATCATGCCATACCTGCACTGCTTTGGTATTTATTTATATATTTATTTTCAGTACCACGGAGAGCGTCGTTTTAGTGCATGGTGTGTCGAGTAGTTTCAGCACCATGGACAGCAGCAATCTAGAGCAGCCTTCATAGCAAATATTGTGAATTCTTTCAAAGAGAACATTGCTAAATTCAGTTCACAGCCCTTTAGTGTGCCACCAGCTGTCTTCAGATGGAAATCGGACGCGTTTTCTCAGCAAGTTTAGCTGGAGAGTAAACCCAGGGAATTAGCAACCAAAGGCATTTCAGAGGCTGGTGCCAGGTGGACAGATGGGCATGATATGAGCAGAGTGTTTTTAGGACACACACTCTCTCCTGGGTGTCTTTTCAGGCTGACAAACTGTTGGTTCAGAGAGGGAGAGAGCGCATCACATTGGACTGTTATGTAAAAATGTGTTATTGGTTGACTGTACTGTAAGTTATTCTAGAATAAATTATGATAAATTATATTATGTTTTTAAGGACAATGAATTTTGATAGACTTTGAAAAATTATAATCAAAAGTTCAAAAATATAGGGAATATTTTAATAATAAATGTTGTTAATCTTAGAGTTTAAGTGCAATAGACATTTTCAAATTTTCTGTGTAATTTTTTTAAATGTAAATTTATACAATGCCATTCTAAAGTCTGAGGTCTATATATTTTATGACTAAAGATGTTTTTTTGCTCATATATATATATATATATATATATTGTGTGTGTGTGTGTGTGTGTGTGTGTGTGTGTGTGTGTGTATGTATGTATATATATATATATATGTATATATATATATATATATATATATATATATATATATATATATATATATATATATATATATATATATATATATATATATATATATATATATAATAATTTTTTTTTATTATTCTTTTTTAACAGCAAGGAAATTTTCACAGTGTGCCTGAAAATATTTTCTTTTTCTGGAGAAAGTCTTAAATCCTTTATGCCTTTAAATGTCACTTTAAGCTATATAGAAATGTCTTGTAAAATATCTTGTAAAATATTACTTACTGTCATCATGCAAAGATAAAAGAAATCAGTTATTAGAAATGAGTTATTTAAACTATTGTGCTGAAAAAAATGTGTGAAAAAAATCTAACAGAACAGATATTGGGGAAAAAATAAACAGGGGGGCTAATAATTCTGACTTCATCTGTATATATCTGTATTTTTTAAATGTTAATGTACAATGTAAAACAGGGAAGATCACTAAATGAAATAAGTTAGTTTACTTTGACTTAATGAAAGACTTATGGTAACTCATGAACTGATTATATCAAGCAGAACTCATGCTGAATGAGTTGTAAATGAATTAATTCAGTTTTTGTGTTAACTTAACTTAATGCTTGAAGTAATACCAAACCATTTGAGTAACAGTATATTGTTGTTTGGACTCATATCTATCATATCAATTCTATTAACTCATATCGGTTTGATAATTTAAATGTTTGTTACTAATAATACTCTAAATGTTTGACGATATTAACACAAGTGATATATGTGTATATGACTCAATATATATATATATATATATATAGTATAAGTATATAAGTTTGAGTACTCACTATTTGGTTTCAGAACTGTCGCAATTGGTTTCCTCAGTTTGAGTTATCTTAACTTAATACATATATATATATATATATATATATATATATATATATATATATATATATATATATATATATATATATATATATATTCATAATTTCATGTCACATGCCATCAATTTACATGATTTTAAAAATATTTTAATATTACCTTTTATTAATATTTTACTGTTGTAAATATACTGTTTTATTTATTTGAGAGAAATGTGGGTGTTTCAGAAACAAATATAAAACAATAAATGTATTTTTCTGTATGCATAAATAAAATAACATTTATAATTTCTAGTTATCAGTAATATTATTTTAGTGCAGTGTTTTGCTGAAGCAGCTGGGATGTGGATCATATGGTTTCCACATTTTTTAATGAATGCATTTGCATATTTAATTGCTTCAAAATATTGATATAATAGCATAACATAATTAAATTACTTGCAGAAAAAAAATATTTAAAACGCGATCCTTTAAGGTTTGTAATGTTTTTTTGTGTTGATTCTTGTTTTAGTCCATAAATGTAATACAATTTGCTATGTGTCATAGTGATTAATTATAGTAAGGTTTAAAATGTGACAGTAGAGTCCCCACAAATCCATACTTGGTCAACAAGTACACACTCCCTCTTCCGGCAAGGTGTATGACTCAGACAAAATGCGTATTGAGAGCTCTGAATCCATCCATCGCCTTTGGATAATGTCTGGTCTCACACAGTTTGCGAGAAGAAGCAAAATGGCACGCAGAGCTCGGTTGAGTCTTGTCTTGGCCATAAGGAGGAGTGAGCTGGAGGAAACGCGAATCGCTACGGGGACGCGCGTCATGTGCTGCAAGGCTTGAGCACGAGCGTTAAATTGATCAGATGCTCGAAACCCGCCAGCTGATCTGAGGAGGATTGCGCTCGAGACCCCGCGTCTCCGTTTCGTTTTCTCCGCCAGAAATCGAACTTTTAGCCGAAAAAATCACTTGTCGTCAGCCGAGGCGACAGTGAGGGGAAAAAACCCGAAGCGGAGCTTTTTTGAGGGGCTCTAGGCGATGGGTGCCTTTTGGTTCCTCTCGGTTTCCAGAGAAGATGCGAGCTCGAGCTTCAATCCACGCGCTCCGGCGCCTCTCCAAAACTGACGATGCTCCTTGCAACGACCACCGTCGGATTTTTCGCGTCTTGGATTTGTCTACGAGTTCTGGAGTATAGATGATAACTGTTTTAGGGAGAAATTGAGGGAGAAACCGCGAGAGATCATCACTGTATCTTGACATGGTGTTTTTTGTTTTGCCAGCGCGCGCTCACGCCCACCCTACCGGACCGATATGGCTCTGAAAAAAGCAGATAAACTTAAATGACTAAAATCAACAAATGTCACCGAGGTGTGGATTTTTTGGGGAAGCCCCGTGACCCGTCGTCTGCATTTGCGAGTGTAATTCGAGAGTTTGGCGGAGGGCAGGCTGAGTATTGCCATAGTATACCAAACATTGCGGATGCCTCAAAAATAAATTAATTATTGAAAGCTTTTAGCCATTTTTCTACCCTATTTTTTCCGTCGTGGATGTGCAGAAATAAAACGACAATGCAACTTTCGAAAAAGACGCATTAGATCTAATACAGATGATGCCAATTTGCATGTAATGTATTAACGCAATTATGCTAAAAGGATTTGTGTGTACACCTTGCAAATGGCATGACGACCCACACCGAGCTGTCAAGACGAGAAATACTTCTTAAAATGTGGATCCCACCCTCCTGAGGAAGAGAATCCGTCGACATTTTATCTCTTTATGTTTTGACTATTTGTTTGACTGTTTGTTGAGCTGACTGCACCACTGAAAGAACATACTCCATCCATCTATCCATCAGTCGCGTTATCTGAGCCCCTGACACTCACACTCTCTCACACACTGATCTTTGGTGCTTTATGGACATTTCTTAGCCATGAAGATCAGATCTGAATGTCTGTGTGCTCTGTGCTGAGGCGGATGGGGTGTAATGTGGTGTTGTCACCCTGAGACTTCACCCCCTTCTCGGCTGCTTCGTAACGATTGGCTTTTGGTGTCTACAGAATGGCTCGGTTCGGAGACGAAGTGCCGGCCAGGTACGGCGGCGGCGGCGGCGGGGGCTCCGGTCAGGGGGGACCCGGCCGCGGCGGCAGCAGGCAGGGCGGCCCGCCAGGGGCCCAGAGGATGTACAAGCAATCGATGGCCCAGAGAGCCCGGACCATGGCCATCTACAACCCTATCCCGGTCCGACAGAACTGCCTGACGGTCAACCGCTCTCTCTTTCTCTTCAGTGAAGACAACATAGTGAGAAAATACGCCAAAAAGATCACCGAATGGCCATATCCTTTACTCAATCCAGATCTCAGGGCCTCTGGGAACAGGTACAGATTTATAATATCTTACATGGTGGTGATTGGTCCTTTGCTGGACCCTGCTTAATGCTGCCTCCTTATCGACAATGTAAGCCATTTATTTTATTCTTTATAATTAATCACAGAGCATATTAATACTGTTGGTATTGAATTGTGTTATTGATTAGTATTTGTAATTCATTTGAGATGCTGATACAGACTAAGAGCCAGTATTCCAGTTACTCAGGGTACGCCATTTAAAAAATATAAATAAAAAAGTGCTTTAACGCTAGATTTTAAATTAGAGGTTCATTATTTGCATCAGTGGTTCCATTAAGACCTCTGAACAGCCATGCACTACTGAGAATGAAGGTTCTTTATTGTCATCAATGATTCCAAGAATCTTTAACATCCGTAGAACTTTCACATTCCACAAATAGTTCTTCATAATCACAAAAGGTTTTCTTGAATATTAAAATATTATTATTAAGAATAAAATGTACCTTTTAAAAGCTGTGTAATCTCTGCAAAAGCTCTGTTTTGGAACCTATAGTTTCAGGATAGTGGAATCTTTCACTTGCACAAAAGTTTCTTCATCTATCTAAGGATAAATATCCATAATTAAGAGATTGCACCCCACCCTTTTGCTTCTTAGTGAACCATGGGTTTTAAAGTGGTATGTGAAGATGCTTGTCCTCAGGGTGGTCTAAGTTTGTCCCCTCTGTGGAGGTAGGCCTGATGTGCATGTGTTTTCATATCCATGTGTAAGCATGTGTTGCGTGTCCAGGTCTGTGTTCAGGGGCCTGAGGCTGCGTGGGTGTGCGTGGTTTCCCGCTGGTCAGGATTGGTGGAGTGTGTGCGAGTGACTGTTGAGTGCTGCTGTGAGTGTGGAGGGGGCTGCTGATGTCAGCATATGAGCTTTAGCGGAGCCTTGCAGTGTGGAGCAGAGCATAGCAGAGCGAAACAGGAGGTTTGAAGAAAGTGTTTTGAGACCCAGAGCTCAGACATTCAGCGCTGCATGTGCAGTATTGCGAACTGAGGTCTGAATGTCTAAAAATGCTGTAGGTATTCATGGATTGTAGATGATGATGATGTGGGATCAAAAGCATGTTGTTTGAAGTCACTGATGTGATTATTTCCTGAAAATATAAATTGTGTCATCATTTTCAAAACTTTGTGTAAAGTCATGCACATTTGCAATAGCAAATGGATGAATAATTGTTCTTGGGTGAATATTTCCATTTTAGATTTTCTGCTATCTTGTGCACTTTGTTGCATTACCCAAATGTATTGTATTTTAGTAATTTAGGAATTTAAATTGAACATTACATTGACACTTACATTCATGTATGACTGCTTTCATCAGTTGACCTTATTCTCCATGTACAAGCGGGCACAGTCATTTGAATCTGTTTGGCTTGAGACTTCCGGTCTCGTTCACTTCCATTTATTTTGGATGTTAAAAACAGCTCGTTATGCTGCTTGATGTTGCAAACTGATATTTTCCTATCATATAATTCTGCTTCATCTGTATAGTCATGAACACACTTGTTTGTAGAGCGAGTAGTTTGTCAGTTTTCTGCCAGAATAAGGTCAATACACTGCATTGAAAAAAAATATTGGATTTAGTAATCTCCTTTAAGGCAAGTGGTTGCAAACAATTTATATGGGCTGAATTTAAACAAACACATTAAATTTAGTAACTTCAACTTAATTAGTTTGTTTAAATTAAGCAAATTGTTTGCAACCAATTACCTTAAAAAATGAGTCAATCCAATGAATAATTTGTTTTAGTGTTAACAGGTTTCTGGGTAAACTGAAACTTTAAAATAAATACAGTGACAAAACATATGAAATATACATAGCATATTTGCATTTTGTTCAGGTGTCAGAGGATAATTGCCTTAGGAATAAGTCAATTTTTTATTTTCAGTTAAAATTAACTGTTATCATATCCACCTCATTAACTGTACTTGCATGCTGTTTCGAAAATTGTATGTATTTATTTTGTGGACCCCATTGGCTGTCAGTGCATGGATTAAAAAAAATCAGAGAAACATTTAAAAAATATAGCATTTGTGTAAAAATACAGAAAAAAATACAGGTTTGCCAAAAACAGAACAAAGATTGTGAATACACTCTCACAAAATTATTGCTTTTGCACTCCCTTCTGTATTGCTCTTTCTAAACTCTTTATAAATAAGGTTACAATTAATTCTTAAACTGAAAGGTTTCTATAAAAATATTTATCAAAATTCCTGTAATTTCAAAACTGTATTTTAAAACATCTTCTTCAGAACACAATATACTGAAGTCAAAAAGTGAAAGAAAAAAAAAACAACCCAAAAAACATTTAGTATTTTGCATTTAGAAAAGGAAAGTTTTGCAACAAAATGATGCGCACTGAAAAAAGTGATATTTGGAAAAATGTTGCAAACAATGGATATGGATTAAATGTAAACAAATTAAATTTAGTAATGTTAAACTTGATTTGTCTGTTTAAATTCACCCCAAATAAATTGTTTATAACCAATTAACGTAAAAACAAATCGGTAAATCCAAGGAATCATCTTTAAATAATTTTTTTTCAGTGTGAAAAAATGATGAATTATGCTTTTTGAGTGAACTATTTCTTGAAAAATTTCTTGAATCTGAAATGAATGCGTTTAGCAACTTCATTACATTGAAAGCTACTTTCAGATCAGTGTTTCCGAGAAATGGTTTCTGAAAATAAACTAAAAGACCCAGCAGTTGAAGTTGCAACTTTTGGCATAAGGGAAAACCAGGGTATCCAGTGATCTTAAAACGTCTTAAATCTCAAAAGCTACATTTTAGGCCTTAAAGTCTAAAATGTTCTAAAATATTGTGTTGTAAGACTTAAATCTTTTTTTTACAGGCTTAATTTTCCTTTGTTTATGTATATTAGCTACACAACCTGGCTATTAACACCCATACAATTATCGACAATCCATCTCAATAAAACTTTTAACTTTTTATTTAAAAATAGAATTTAATGACTTTCCTTGCTGCAACATTTGCTTAAAAGTTCCCCATTTATTTACTGCTAAGGATTCTGACCTGACCTATATTTTTATTATAACATTTTTTATTATTGTACACAGAAGTAATTGACAGCTACGTGTTGTTCTATTTTTGGTAAGGGTTATAGTGTATGTGAAAGGATATATTTGAAAATTAATATAAAATATTAAAACAAAATTATTATTGTATTATTAAATTATTAAATTTGAATATCTTTTGATAGAGCAAGTGACAATCTTTTCTAACTGGGATATTTAAAAATCGTCTTTAGCATTTAACCCCTAAGTTTCATCCATAATGGTCTTAAAAATGGCTTTAGTCTTACATTTAACTTGGTAAAACCCTGGAACAATAAACTAAAACCATTCCTCATCTTGTGCATAAACTTCTGAACATCACAAAAAGTTTCAGACAGTTGTGTTTTTTCTATTGCTCTGTTCTGATTGGCAGACTGCCATTTGTTTAGATAATTTACATAAATATCAGCTTTACTGACATTACTAACACTCAACATTATTATGAAAATTTTTACATAACTTTCTGTTGAGTTTGGAAAAGCTTTTTTTAATAGCTGTACAGCTTTTGAGATCACAATCCTCTCCTGTCACCATTTAGTTTTAGTCCAGATAAGAACTTTTCTTAGCTCAGTTTATCGGCTGACTTCTTTTTCAATCTGAGATCTGATGGTTTGGTAAAACAGTGCGATGGTAGAGGTGTTAGACTGTTTTAAAAATACTCTGTCGGAATGATGAGTTTATAAAGTCTTTGCTTGTATGAGCGCCAGTAAAGGAAAAAAAAAGTCGCTCATATTCTGATGCTCCTACGCCTCCCCTTTCCTTTTACCATCTCTCCGTCTCTCTCTCTCTCTCTCGCTGATTCTCTTAGACCATCTGCTCACTCTCTCTGTTGTCTGTATGGTGGTGGAGCTTCCTGGGGTTCTGTTGGACTCACTGGGCATGAGCATGTGAGAGGAAACAGTAAAAGAACGGAAAAAGAGTGATCTGGAGAGGTGCACCTGTTTCTGGCCTTTTGGAAGCATGTGTTTGCACGTGGATCTGCACGTGCATGTGTGATGCAAGTGAAATGGATTTGTAGCCATTCGGACAAAGATAACATCAGAAAGGCCAAGCTCATGATCTAGAGCATACAAAGTTTAACTTAATATTTTTAGTCAGTTTGATTGAGATACCAAGAAAAGTTAATTCGATTCAACTAAAGAATTAAGGCAGGATTTTTTTTACAGAGCCGGAGATTTTTAAATAAGACAGGTTTGATCTGTCTAACTTGACCCAAAATCAAAAGATAAAAATAAGTATGATATTAAAAACATAGGCTCATTCTGAAAACAAAGCCCTATATACATTTCTGAAGATCACAAATTAAAATAGCCAGACGAACATATGGCTGCATTTCGTCTTTAAAATGAACACTATGGGGTGGTATGACGCCAATCCTATTCTCGTATACCAGCTGACTGCTTATCACTGTATGGACGGCTTTCCCACTGTTTTTAGTTTGTCCAGTGGCTCGTCGCGTAGGTTGGAGGGTGGGTTTGAGTTGACTGTGACGATGAAGTTCGAGTCCGGCAATGAACGGTTCTGGAAAAAACGCAAGTAAGACAAAAAAAAAAAAAGGCAAAAAATAAAATAAACAAGTAAATAACAGGGTGAGAATGTGGTAAAATGAACCATGAGAGCTTTTCTTTTTCTGGATTGCTTTTCAAAACCCTGTCGTTTGGGTTTTAGGGAAATGGGTGGGCACTGGTCAATCTGTGCTTTTTAAAACATTATTGGTTGGGTTTAGTGAAGGGGGTGGGTGAGGGGACTGGTTGGTCGGTCAGTCAGCGACCTCTGAAGGATTTATGTGAGAATAGCAGGCACGAATGGCACTTGCGAGAGAAATTTAAGATCTGAAAAAGCGAACTCAGCGGCCTCTAGTTCATTTGC